GACCGGATAGAGCACTTTTTCACTTACTGAAAACAGTCAATGCAATACTTTTTAACCCTTGAGTTGAAAGGTCTGCTGAAAGTCTGCACTTCAATCGCATCTTCATTACTGACTTAGAATCCACCGCTGTGGTACAGAGGCACAAATACAACCTGTAGGGCTACTCTACACATACACACACATAAATAGGGTAAAGTAGGCCAACCATCGAAAAACGTGCACTGAATATTTTTTAAAGATAGTCTTAAGTCTCAAAAGATTTTTGTGAATGAGCAGTGAAATGCTCACGAAGTGACAAATCAGAGCGAGGGCAGATGGGATACGTGTGATAGATGGGACAGGTTGTATCTGGCCTCTGTGACATTTTCATCTTCCTTCCTGTTGCGCATTTCTTTCCTCTCACACTTCCACACTCTTCACTGATCTCATCTCCCCTCATCAGAGAACACCAGTGAGCTCAGCACATCTATCAGCAACTCCGCTCTGTGTCATCCTTCTCCTCCTCATTTCGCTTAATCTTTTCTCCCTTGTCTGTCCTCCCAGGTTCTTCTCCCCAGCTCTTCAAGTCAATCAAACTACAAAAACTAAAAAAAAAGAGAAGCCCACACAGACAAAAGCAGGAAAATGTTAATCTCCCAGATAAGAAACATACTCTTTAAATGTTGATAATTCTCTTATCTCACATTATGTACATACATTTTTCACAGCTGTCATGGATCTGTCAGGGATCCAGGATTTGGAATTCCCTGGTTAAGGTCATATAGACATGGGTAACTGCTGATTATTGCAAATATTAACAACAGCAAATTCCTGTGAGGTATTTTCATTCCCTGCACTGTTTTTTTTTCTTAACCCTTCTCCCCTGTTTCCATCCTATCACACCGAACACCCCGCTCACTCTTTAATGAATCCAAGAAGTTAAGAAATAGTGTGTACACATCATCTAATCAGTTCTGGGTCAAGATGAGGAGTTCAAAATATTTTCTTTCTCTTTTATTTTAATGTCCATTCATTTGTAACTCTCTCCAAGAGAATATATTTAAATGTTTTTTGTTTGATAAGTAATTTGTAGATAAATTCATGACCTGAACTTAAATCAACTTTGTAAAATCTCCTGTTTTTGGAGTACAAACTGTAGTACTTTTTATATTTAAAGCATGAGCTAGTTTCAAGCTAGTGTCATTATAATAAACAGCAGAAGATTAGCTAAGCTACCGCAGACATGTGGTTTTGGATTAATCAAACGAAGTCAGCTTTTCTGTATAGAATTACTATTAACTTAACTAAAAGTAAACTGATTTACTTTATAACATTAAAAATGGCTTATACGGCTGCATGTAATATGGAAATGATGTAGGTTTGGTGATGGACCCACAGACGATAAACCTCTGAATCTGCAGGTCATCATTCTCACCACTAAAGTTAAGGTTTGAGACTTCTCTGAATGCACCAAATCATATATTTCATATATGATTTGGTGCAATCTAAGATTTGGCTGTAAGTGCAAAAGCTTCACCTCTCATTGTTTCAATCTTTTGCTTGTGAGGAACAAAAAAGCTGGCTTAAAGGCTGGGCGCTGTTAATGGGCGTCTGTGACTAGTGCTCAACAGAATTTTAAAAATGTTGCTTGCAGATACTAAAAAGTGTAAGCAGCGAGCTCTTTCACAACTACATTGGACTCTCATAAACTAAGCGATGGAGCTGAACTGACTTTGTTCTCACATCCTGCCCTGTAGCCATTTCCACTCTTTAGCAATGCCCCATCCTTTCAGCAGTGTTTTCTGTCATCGTCTTCCTCTTCGGGTGAGTCAGAGAGCAGAGAGACACTGCGCCTTCACACCCTCCATCTGCACGCAATACTTGTCTGTCTGTCATCCCTCCAGACAGACACGCTGACAGATGAAACGCTGGCTGCAGCTCGCACAGCCAAAGAGCTTCGACTATTTAGAGAAGGACATTCACTTAAAGACAGTCCCATGGTGCAGGAAGGTATTGTGCTGGACTAAATTGGAATCCCCGCCTGCATCTGTGTGACAGAAAATGGATGCAGCAGCACAGCCAGTGAATGCCTTTCAGTGCAGAAGTGAATCTTTAAGAACAAAAAGGCAAAACCAGCCAGATTTTACTTTTTTTTAATGGCACCAATAACACGATTACAATAGGAGGAAATCATTTTAAAACTAAATGACAATAGACTGTACAACATTGTCAATATAAAGATTATCAATAAAATTTTGTATATTTTGTCAGCATGTATAAATACAGTATCTTACAAGGACATCAAAGTGGTATTTGCTACATAGCTTACATTATGACTAGAACACAGAATCAATTCATGCAGTATAATGCCCAATTATACGAAAATAAAAATAATAATAAAAAAAATGTCAAAAATAAAATAAATTAGAAGCACACTTTCTTTTTCTATCTTTAGCATTTACAGCGTTTCGTGGGCCAATGTGCTGCAAGAGCTTCTGTATGGTCCAAACCACTAAATCGACTAACATTGTCTATTATTTCAACACTAATGTCATTCCATGTACATACTAGTGGTGAGTGCACATATACACAGTCGGTCTGTTGGCAGTTGATTAGCTTTGATGCATATAACAAGTAACAGTGACAGAATGAAAGGTAACTGTTCCAATACAAGAAGAAAAAGAGTAAAGTTCACACATTTCAGGGTGAGCGTAAAAGGGAAAAATGGAAGATTTCTCACGAGTGGGGAAGTGAGATCTTTCAAATGATGTTTTCTGTCAAAGAGGCATTTAAATGAACTCCCTTTTGAAATGTACAAAAAGTCTTTAAGTCTGTAAATAAGAGAGTGACCTTACTGCAAGAATGATGCAGGGTGTGGTGTTGCATGCTTGAGATATGCAGGCAGTCTGATGTATGTAATGTAAAAGTACAATTACTCTGTAGATAACAGTATCAAATGTACTGAACTTCTTTTCTGCAGGTGACTTAAAATGAAAAAAGCAAGCAACCGGAGGCTTAACCAGCAGTTGGTTCTACATGCGTTCACTCAAAGCACTGCAGGCAACTAGTTCTTGGTAACAAAGCCAGGCATACCAGTGAGTAATATAAAAATATACACAGGAGTAAAGTATCTCTATAAAAATATATTTGTACATTGTCATTCTTGAGATTAAAGATTTATGTGCAAAAATAAATTGAAGAACAAGCATTAAAGTTACCAGATGATTGCGATATATCATTTCCTTGTAAAGTTCTCGCTGTTGTATTTTTTTAAGCCCTAAGGAAGCATTGCAGAGAGAAATGCAAACTGGCGTGGCAAGCATAGAGTCTGATTCATATTCCACATGAAACTTCTACCCTTCTTTTTTTATGTTTATGCTCTTCTGGACAGAGTCCCCCCACTGTTTCAACCCGACACATGGCTGAACGTGCCTCTCAGCGAGCACCATAATGTAAAACACCTGAAACCTAAATCTTATCTTAGCGTATCGGTTTACACAGTTTTATGAAGTGGTCAGATTCACGAGCAGACGCAGAGATGGATACCTGAGGAAAAAAGCAAAAGAGAGTCTGCTGAAACTTGCTGTGCGTTAATGTTTGCTGCAGCTGCTTTTCTTTGATGTTGTGTTCAGGGTAAAAGTTTTTATTTCTGGTGGGGGCAGGTGAACATCCCTACACCTACCAGGAGCACCGAGGTAAAAAAAGACATTCAGATAAATGTCATCCTTTGACTCGCGTCTGATTGCTGAGACTGCTTTAGTGAAGGTGGTTGAACCCTTTGCCAGGTGTTTTCAGTTAATCTACCCAATTAGGCCTCTGCCCAGGATAATTCAAAGATAAGTAATATAAGAACATAGCTAAGCCTACAAAGCGTGTTTTAATAGGAATGAAAAAGGTCTGACTCATTCAAACTTAAAAGTGGAAGAAAGGTTACAACTCAAACTCAGACTATTTCCTTTTCACGTTGATTGGGTTAGACTTTATCAACCCCCCAAAAAGCACCTGTGTAGATGCACTATGCGGGTACAGTATGGCGACCTTTGCAAAATCAGAAAAAAATCAAATGAAATGAGGCAAAAAGGTGACGATGCAAAGCAGTAAAGGGATTTTCAGTGACAGAAGAGATCAGGAAGAGATCGAATGATTACTGCAATCGGTTTTCTGACCCTTCACCGCCTTGAATCAAATCTAAAGTCTAATGAACAAGATAAAAACTGCAACTTGCAAAGCATCCAGATAGCAGCTGGCGATTCAGCGGAGCGGCTGTCAGCCTGGAAGAAGAAAACAAAAGCAGCCCTAATCCATGCTGGGGTTGAGGATATAGTCGAGTTTGCCTTGATTTGTGTTTTTCGTGGCTCAGTTGGGCTGACGCCTGAGATACGCTCTGAAATTAAGCTATTACATTACACACGAGCTACACTGCTCTTTATAGATTAACAGGAAATAGCCTGCTAAATACCACATAATCATTTATATACACAAGTAGCTATATTTGAAATCCTGTAGTAAAAGAGAACGTTTTTGTAATGTGACTGAGGAGGCTGTGTGGTTATGATAACGACATATAATGTTGGTTTAAGTTACCTTTAAACTGCTCACTTAATTGTGTCTTCAAATAGGACCTTTGAGCAAAAAAAGTGACATCATAAAAAGTTTGAATGAAACAGATTTAGGGTTTTTTTCCCCTCACAGAATGAACTGAATGCCAGGTTGATTAAAAATAAAAACCATATTTCTTTACATTCTTCATTGTTCTTTTCTTAAGTCTGTTCATGCACAAAGTGTGGCTGCAGCAGAGTTGTATAATTCCAGTCTTTTGCATGTGCTCTCCTTGTCCTTTGCTCTGCACACCAGCAGTTAGTGTGGATTTCGATGGCTGGATTTAAGAGCCGAACGTGAAACACCAAAGCTTCCTACTAACCTCACTGCTAACACTGGTAATGAATGTGCTGATGCTGATGCACTTTCCCATCCACATGTGAATGTGTGTGTGTATGTATGTCTGTGTAGATCTTTGGGTAGATTTTGGGAGCCAATCCGCTGCCTCCCTGAGCCAGGAGGAGCTGCTGGTGGGCGACGTAGTCCTCGTACGACAGACAGTCTTTATCCCCGCTGGCTGGCTGAGGAGAGACCGTTGGGCAGGTTCGGTCACGACTGGCCACGGGCAGACGCTGAGCAGAAGGGAGAGCAGAAGACGATGAAGAAGAAGAAGAGGAGCAGGTGCGTTTTAACTGGCAGAACCAGAGAAGGGCAGCGCCTAGGATGAAGGCGATGCATGCTGGTACTCCGATAATCACGGGCCAGGGGAGACTTGGAGATAACGGTAAAGGAACTGAGTTGGGGGGAGGCTTCCGATCTGCAGCGGAGAGACAAATAAGAGCATTAATGACAAGTGGAAATAAGACATGCTACATGAGTCATGGTGATTAACTTTACAATACTTTTTTGCTGTAAGCTAGCATGTTGTTAAATAAAGGTGATATTAGAGACAGAGGTTTGTAAGAAAGGAGGTTAGCTAAGCAGATTGTAGCTAGGGATGCATTCATCTGAAATGTGGATTGGATGTCAGTTTGAAGCTGAATCAAAAGCTTGAATAATTTGGATTTATGAGGCCAATTTATTCAATTCAGTTCAAACATAAATTGGCTCAATAGCAAAGGGCAGACTGAAAGTATTTCACTTCTGGTACAGCAACAGTAAACAGTAACCAAGTGAGCTGAAAACACTGTGAAGCTCAAACGATGGGGCTTAACATTTGCCGGGAAGCTTTTTAGTGCATGTACGATAAGATAACGAGTTGTGGTCAAGTGTGTGGTAAGAACTGATGCGACGAGCAGAGAAAGCAGAAACGAATCGCACTGGGCTGAAATGCAATGAGTGAGGTAAATCGCATAAATCGTCTGTTTTATTTATATTTTAATTTTATTAGTCTTTGTCTCGGGCGCCACAGTGCTCCAGCGGTTAGTACGGTCGCCTCATAGCAGGAAGGTCCTGGTTTTAATCCAGTCTGGGGTCTTTCTGTGTTTGAGTTTTGAATTTGCATGTTCTCTCCGGGTACTTCTGCTTCCTCCCACAGTCTTAAGACATGCATGATTAAGTTATTTGGTGATTCTAAATTGGTTTTAAGAGTGAGTGGTTGTGACAGACTGAAGATCTGTCCAGGGTGTACCCTGCTCCTTTCTGGGATAGGCTCCAGCCCCCTACCCTTTATGGTCTGCTCCACATAAAGAATGGTTAGCAGTAAGGAGTATAAATGAATAATTAACACTTGTATGGATCGGTTCTTGGTATCCACAGTTACAGTTATCTGTGCCTCTATTGGAAGAAAGAAAGATCATACATCTGCAATAAGAGCCACAGATTTCTGCTCACATAAGAACTTTTAGGTGAAGTTCTTGTGGCTTTGCAAACTATAAGATCTAATAATTCTCTCTCTGCAGGCAGCACGTTTCTTCCTCTGACCTGGAAGCACAGTGAGGTAGGCACTCCTGAAGCTGTAGCCCATAGTGTTGGCTCCCATGCAGATATACATGCCGGCATCTTCCTCCTTGGCTCTGGTTATCAGAAGCTTGTTGAGGTATGATCCATCAGGGCGTGACCAAACGTCTCCTGGAGGCAGGACCACAAAGTGATAGTCTCCAACCTTGGAAAAAACATAAATACACACCTCAAAGTTAAAAAATAATTCAGTCTAATGAATAATGTTGCTAATTTGCTTCCGAAAAGGGTTTTTTGTACCTCTATGGTGGAGTTAAATTTGTTTTCGTCACCAGGTTCGACTCTTTTAAGCCACTGGATAACTGGCTTGACGTCACTGCGGACTTTACACTGAAAAGATGTGGTTCCCCCATAATCCACGGTGGTGTTGACAGGGTGAGTACCTGTCAGGATGGGTTTAGAGTTGGTACGTTCTGAAGAAAGAGACAAAATAGACAAACGTGCAGAAACATAAACAGAAACTATTTTTAATGTTGTATTCTTCAAACTACAAAAATGTGAAAAATGAAATGGTTTGATTATTTTATTTTCTAATTGTCTGCTTTATTAAGAATTAAACGAGGAGGTATACACTTGTAATCAATTTATTTGGAGTAAATTACACCAGAGAGAGTAATAATTTAGGTAAAGAGGATTATTTGCTGTATTCAGCTTCCCCTGCATCATCCCTGTCTGCTAAACACATGCAAACAGATCATTTATCTGTAGCTCTTGTTTCTTCTTTATCAAGTCACACAGCTGATAAAAAGAGGCCTTGCAGAGATACTTAATCATCTCCTTTCCGTTATCTGTTAATCTGAGAGCAACAGAAGCCTGAGTGAGAAAGGCTTTTTGTTTGGTGGATTACAGGATTAATTAATTAAAGAAAACCAGCTTTCAAACTTAGCTTAATTTCTAGGTGGTGGTGATGATATGGAAACCTTTTCTTTGTATCTGATAAAGAGTTCAAAGAATACATTTTCCCCCTTGTAAACAGATTTAAGGTTCTAAGCAGTGCTATCTTAATTGTCATGGTGCTGGTATAGACTTTAAAAATGTTAATGTAACAGAAACAAGCCCTGAGAAGCTGAGGTTAATTACATTTAAATACAGACGGGTTGTCATACAGCTGAAAATTCACCTCCGAGCACAATTTATGCTCCTGCTATAGCGTCTTGCATCTCCACTCACAGGTTATACATGATTTTTAAAAGCTTTATTGGGTTTCTGACCTTGTGTCTCTGTTTTTCTAGTTCTCTTTCTAACAGCTGGGAATGACGGACAGTTGGATGAATCTCAGCCGATAGAGAAAATGTCACATCTGACACGAGCAAGCAGCGGCTTGATTTACTTTCTTTTTATTTTATGTGCGTTTGTGTGTGTGTGTGAGACTACAGCTGTGGTTTAATATAGAACAGATGTGTGAAGTGGAGTGAGAGTGTAGAGAGCTCGTTTGAGCTTCTCAACAGAGCTATAACATTTGGTTACACGCAGTTGAGTGGACACACGCACAAAACCGACACCATCTCTCCACCAAACAGGTCAACACTAAGTCGATCGATGTTCCAACACAACCTAATACAGCACAAAACACCCACAAGTCGTCATAACACACATTCGACCCTCAACAGCAACGAGACTCTTTTAGACTAAAAGCGGATCACACTGCAGCCT